AATAAAAGATAGTTACAGTTGCCATAACTCAAGAATAAAGATGTCAGATTTGTCTGAAAAGATCTTTCTCAAGCAGTATTTTGTTTTATAGCCACAATGTCGTATCAAAGTCAGTCATTATTTTGACATTATTTATGACTGTACCAATGCATGTAAAATCCTATAAATGCCTGAGACTGAAACTATAACAAATGGAGAGCTCTTTTCCTCCAGGTTTTGGAATGTTTAATTCTCTCCAAGATTATGCCATAAAATTATCTCTCTTGCTAAAGTACAGATGGCTAAATGACCTGAAAATCCAGCTGTTTAAGTGAAGAATGGACGAAATGATGGCTACAGAGTTACATAGCTATTCATGTAACAAAGACTGTTGAGAGAAACTGGGCTTAGCTAGAACAGAAACTAGGCAGAATTCAAATTTACAGTAAACAGGCACTGACCAGAAGACCGGCAAAGGAAATCATGCATACCGCAAATGATTTAAACTGTGAAACCTTCCCCAGCCCATTCCCAAGCCTGCCTTAACTTTGCATGGTTCATACAGAAAAAAAGATGGTTAACACAGTTCCCTAAACACAGCATTCAAACAGGCTAAGATGCAACTGCACATTGTAAGGGCTGTGTCCTACTCTTAAGCTAAATCCCTGGACACCTTAATATCCTTTTTACAGGCATTAATTATGGCATTTTGCTCCTTGATTGTGCTTCAGCAACAACCTGCTTCTGCATTTCTGGACTTGTCAAACGGAAAATAAATGTGTCCTTTGCCCAGAGAGGATGCTACCCAACCACTCTAAATTTGTTTCTTGGGTGGTAAAACATCCCACGTCAAGCTCGAGTCATGTTCTAAACAGCACAATAAAATGAAATATTTTAGCCCAAATACAGAAGAGAGGCAACAGAGAAATAACGGCTACTTCTGTTCATATTCCAGTGCTCTGACAGAAATCCTATCCTCCAAAGAGCTAAGCAACTTCCAGAGGTGATCAGTATGGGTAATCATCGTATCTAATGTCCCGATGAAGGGAGATAGAAAGAGGTGGGAAATAAGAAAATAGAGGGGAGAGCAGGCTCCGAGGAGCAAATTGCTACGTGTGCACACAAATAAACATGAGTTTTATTTCCGTGTGCTGCAAATTGTGTTGTGGAAAAACTGTGCTGATTAAAACTACAACTAAATGCTGAATGTATGGTCATTACAACATGACAGGACTATTTCCAAGTGTACATATAAAGGGACTGCCGAACGGGCTATTAAAAGCGTGCACACTTACCTAGTCAGCAAATAGGTCAGTGATCACCACTTACTCTGCTTTTTAATAAAGGGATTTGAGAATATTCCCTAATCTTATAAGAAACACAGATTTTCATTATTCTTTTGTGAACTAGAATGAGTGCATTATGGGAGCCGGAAAAAAAATTAAAAAGGCACCTTAGTTTGTCTTTTTTCTTCAGTTGCTCCCTAGCAATATATAACTTTAAGTTACGGTAGGAAAAAAGGGAATAAATTGGCACATGCTATATTTTATTACTGATTTTGGAAAAAGCAACAGCAGGTTTTCATGAAACACACACAGTGCTTTACATTGTTAAATTCTTCAGGGTAATCTGGCCTGTTTCTTACTGCTGGCAATGGGAAACAGTAATGAGACTGCCAAGACTTTGATTCTTCGTTCCTCTGGGCTCCTGGCGCCCCAGAACCTCGAAAGTGCCAGGATCCGTGACTCCTTGGTAATAGGCACTACAGCGTGACCCTGGAGCTGTGAAGCCAAATGAGCTATACAGAAAGGACCCTGCAAGCCCTAAAATCCCCCAAAACTCATAGATGAGCTGGTAGTAAAACTTGCACAATTAGATCAGAAGCTTACCTACAGTTTGTCAAACGTTTGCAAAAACTGAGACGCATCTCAAAACCAGAAAGAAACAGTCATTTTTCCACAGAAAACCAGATCACTGAAAAAATTCCTAGCACGCTTCAAAGCCACAATCAGTAACTAAGCAGAAATCTAGCTTTAGGTTGGAAAAGGGACTTTGATCTTTGTTGGTCATTTAGTGGCTTTAACAGCTCCAGTGCTGGGGACAGCACAGGTCACAGATGACTCCCATTAATCTAATGGCACCCGGTGAGAGAGAGAGGCAGCTATGTGCTGCCCTTTGCTCCAGGATGAGCTTGGTAACACCAAAAAAATATCAGATGTAGAACAGAAAGACCAGGTAGTTTGCAGTTTAACCACTTAAGATCCGTGTATTTCTATTTAACGGGAGTCGCAATCCCACATTAGCTTTTTATCACGTGTTCTTAGAGAAACATACGCCATTTCATCGTATGTCAAATGTACTGCGGATGCTGCTGGAAAACCATTTAACTGAATTAGTTTATGAAGTAGCACCTGGGTTACATAAAATAATGTTACATTTTAAATCTCTGTTTTATGCCCGGTAATCTCTTTCCATTAAGAGGAGTCTGTCTTTGGGGAACATATCTTATTTTATCAGCCTGAACTTCAGGTGATTTTTTTTTTTACCTCTCTTTGTCCAGATCCACCTTGCTGTGTGGCACACTTCCAGAAATCACATGGCGGAGTATGTGCCCACCAGAACGGAAAGCATCTAGCAAGATGAGCGCCAAGTGTGCTTTACGTGTTCTTATACCCAGAAGAATGAAACAAAGCAAGGGAAAGCCTTAATTTCCTTCCCTTCTCAAAACCCTGAAAAAGCACCCATTTATTTTCCCTGACGCAAAGACAGTATGTTCAGAAGAAGCTAAACAGAATATCTATGCAGTTACCTAAGTGCTGTTATCCTGCATGTAGACTCAACACATGATCTCCTCTTATCAAGGAACTGGCCGAAAGCTCACTTAAATCAATGAGAGTCCTTCTGTGAACTTCAACCAGCTTTGGATTAGACGAACCTTGTACAGGAGCAATACCTGAGCCCCAAGGTAGGAACACGTTCCAAAATGTTTGGAAAGAACCTTTTACTTACTTAGTACTTGAACCTTTTAAATCAGGGGCAGGAAAAGGGAAAGTGCCAAGAACAACCCTTTTCTGACATTATCTTTGTTTCCTTAATGTTGCATATTTTAATAGTAGGTAGAACAGATGGTAAAATATAATCTCTCCACTGAGAACTAAATGACAGTGACTAGCTGTAGGGGACACTAAAGTATTAAAGAGAAGGAAATGTACAAATAATGAAAGTACATTTTGTCCAACTTGCTTTTGATGAGGCATAAAATAAAATGTAAATAATTTCTATTAGGAGGAAATTAACATAACGACTTTGATATTTGCAATCAGAGCGAGCTTATATTACATAACCTGGATTTGCAACTGAGGTAGCGCAATACCATTTACCTGGATTTGAAGTAAGGATTATATCAATTCTATTTTCACCATCAGTTATAAAGCACAAACCCAATACCATTAACATGACTGATAATAAAGAGATGTGATTAGTCTCAACTTGAACAGGCAATTAAAAAAAAAAAAAAAAAAAAGGAGAGGAAATGTTGTTTAGCTGTATATGAACAAAGAAGTTCTATTAACCTGGGTTTGCAGTGAAGAAAACTGTCAATATTGCTAACACAGGTTTGCAATTAAGTTGGTATCAATCTGGCTGGGAAAATGAGTTCATAATTAGGACAACACAGTTAGTATTGACCTGAATTTTCAATAAAAATCATGTCTGCATTTTAATTTGGAACAGCAAAATTCATCCCTGTGCTCTACAAATGACCATATAATTATTAACTTGCAGTTACTTTACAATTAGAGAATTATTTACACAATATGTTATTTTTTTATATAACCATGTGCCTGTTGCAAATGGTGAGCTGAACGTAGGGTTCCCAGAAGTGTCCAACACTTAAATTGAAACTTCTACATTTCTTTGCAAAAGCATTCCTAAGGATTTAAATACTTTACTCCCAGAAAAAATTACTGCTTCAGCAAGACTCTGTGTTCCTGCTCCAAATATTGGTTTCTTTATTAGAATTACTAGTTTTAGTTAATTACTAGTTAAATCTCTATTAATGACCTCATGCGCTGGTTTTGGCTGGGGTGGAGTTAATTTTCCTCATAGTAGCTAGCATGGGGCTGTGTTTTGGATTTGTGCTGGAAACAGTGTTGGTAACACAGGGGTGTTTTCGTTACTGCTGAGCAGTGCTGACACAGAGTCAAGGCCTTTCCTGCTTCTCACCCCACCCCACCAGCGAGGAGGCTGGGGGTGCACAAGAAGCTGGGAGGGGACACAGTCGGGACAGCTGACCCCAACTGACCAAAGGGATATTCCACACCATATGACGTCATGCTCAGCGTATAAAGCTGGGGGAAGAAGAAGGAAGGGGGGGGACACGTTCAGAGTGATGGCGTTTGTCTTCCCAAGTCACCGTTACGCGTGATGGAGCCCTGCCTTCCTGGGGATGGCTGAACACCTGCCTGCTCATGGGAAGCAGTGAATGAATTCCTTGTTTTGCTTTGCTTGCGTGCGCGGCTTTTGCTTTACCTATTAAACTGTCTTTATCTCAACCCACAAGTTTTCTCACTTCTACACTTCTGATTCTCTCTCCCATCCCACCGGGGGGGGAGTGAGCGAGCAGCTATGTGGGGCTTAGCTGCTGACTGGGGTTAAACCACGAGACTTCACAAATAATTATCATACCCATTTATTGTAAATACTCTCGATGCTTCTAGCGAACATGATCAAGAGGGTACTTAAATGGACATAAATTGGTTGTTTAATCAGCCTTATGCACTTTAATGCAGAAAACCAACAATGAGAAGAGTATTTATTTTAAAGTAACTTTAGAACCTGAGTGTGCACTTTTTTGCACTTATTTTCCTATGTAAATCCAAGTCCAATATATCAAAACAACACTCAAGAATAGGCAAAAAAGGGTTTTTCTTAGGAAAAAAAACACCCCACGCTTTTATGTGCTCTTTCCGTGTTTTCTCACAATAGAAGAGGAGAACATGAGCCCAGCAGCATTCTCCATCTCAATCTATTTTATAAGGAGCCTCACCTCCTTCTTCTTTTTCCTCTGCACCATGAATCAAAGGTATCTCAACTTCTGTTGTGTCTTCCTGGTTCAACAATGCCTCTGAATAAATTTGATAAAAAGAAGATGAACAGTAAGGCTTTTCAGAACAGACATAAAAGGATTAACATACGCTAGAGAGATTACCATTAAAAAACACTGGCAGAGGAAAAGGATCCTTTTCCCCAAGAATACAGATACAAAAGCTGCCTCAGGGAAATCCAAGGGGCTGTAGTTGAGAGCAAGGCCTTGATCCTCCAAGATGCTGAGCTTTCTGGGATTTAGCACAAAAACCCCATGTGCCTAGCTCCAAGCGTGGGCCTTCACCGGGACTCGTCGCAAGCCCACAGACACACGTACTCAAGCGTTTTGCTGGACTGGGGACAGAGCATTCAATGCTCCAAACGTACAAGGCTGAAGCGCTTGTCATCAGGAATAAGAAATAAGTTCACTTCTTTCTCTAACAGTTGCAGTCATCAAAAAGTCAGCTTTTGTCACCAAGAATCCATAGATACTTGCCTGCTCAGGGTCGAATTTAGAGTTACCATAAGAAGATCCAGCTCCACAGATTTAGCTTAGTAGGTATGGAGAAAGAAAGGGAACTTAAACACTACTGATAATATCTGAGCAATAACTAGTGTTTTTGCCTGTTAATTTTGCTCTTTGGTTTCAAGGCACATGCAGTACCTTCTATTTCCACGCAGGAGCTTTGGGAATCTGCCCCAGTTTTCATCTCCTCCTCTGCAGAAACATCCTGTTGTCCTGTTAACGTGACAAATTGAAAATTACATCAGCACGACGGCTGCGTGCAGGCAATGGCAAGTCCGTCAAAACAGGACACGAACCTAACACGTAGCACGGTCCTGTTCAGCCAAGTACTGCTTTTTTTTTTTTCCTATTAAACAATGTTGGAACTATTGTATATATGAAAGTATCGCTTAAACTCTAAGCATTAAGTATGTTAAATGGCTGGTCAAAACTGACCCTGAAACAACTTTTTTTTTTTTCTTCTTTTGTAGCTCAGCCTTGACACTGATTCTCATAGGAGCTGTTGCAAAGCGCTCGCACTTGACAGCCGACTTAGCAGAAGGTACAGAATCACCCCACAGGCTTTTAGAACAACAACAAAAAAAGGACAACAATAACAATGCTCTGCACCCAGGATCAATATGGTTAAAACCCCACATATTTGGAGACACGTGTCTTTTCCAGCAACACCAGAGATTACCGCACCACAACTGGTTGGTACACAACCTCTGCTAGCTGACAGCGTTTTCTTAAGGCAGCAGAGGTCAGGCTGAAAACCACTGGATGCTGAAACTGGAAGAACTAAGGTTCCCAACTGGTTCATTATCTCTGTCTTAAAGAATTTTGATACAAAACTTTACCTTCGGCTTGATCTTGTTCACATCCCACAGGATGCACTGGGTCACTCTCCCGTGTGCCTTTGGAATCTTTCAGGGAGTCTGAGGAAACAGCAAACAAACAAACAAACATCCTGGAGCAGTTTTCGTGCTGGAAAAGTCTGGTAGTTACTTCAGACACAGGTAGCCCTGAGGTGCTAGCTTCATATCTGGCGTTCTGATATGCTGACAGATTTTCTATCTGTTTAACTACAGACATATATACTACAAAAAGTATACTCATGGGTTTCAATTATTCAGATTGAATTCAAAATCTGTATACTTACTGAGCAGTTTTTTGCCTGTAGTACAAACGTTAAACAAGGAGCTGGCAAGAAAGGATGTGTAAGAATAATCAGCAGCACTACTGAGAGTTTCATTTCTAATGAACGGAGTGGCACAAAGCTATGAGAAACAGCACGAAACACCTACTTGATAAATAAAGTGATTTCTTACTTATTTAGAGCAACGCCAGCACTTTTCATGGTTGGACCTCCACAAGCTTGACAAACATTAAGTCCTATAAATCTCAGTGCAAATCCTAGCCTCATTTCACTTGATGACAGAACTTCCAAGGTCATTATCATGGCCAAGACTGCTTTTCCTTTTGGGGGAGACCAGCAAAATGAACTGCCCAAAGCCGTGCCCTGAACCAGTGGGCACAGTGAGGTTTAAATTAGACGACATGAGTCCAATCACTATGCTATCTGCAAGTCTTCATAAACACAGGGCATTATTTTGTTGTGTCAAACGACATTTTCTGACACCAGCCACTCCTTAGTTTTTGCGTGGGAATGGAGAAATGCATCATTCCACCGCAGTCAGGAAATCACAGCAACACAGCCACCCGTTTTAGCTCTGCTCATCCATATAACACACAGCTTTCACTGGATAAAAAGCTCTCTTTGAGCCTTGTTAAAAAACACCGCTGATCTAATTGGACATTTCTGCAAACTACAGGGGTAAGTACACTTGAGGTCATAACAACCGTAACAGATAATCACTATTTGTGTTCCAGAGTGAAACACTTTCTAAAATGCTGCTAGATGGAAAACTTAAGTAACAGTGCCAAAAGAGCTATGGTGCATGATAATACATTATGCTATGACAGTCTTGTTAGGGCTCTACTTCTGGAAGATCTCCTTCTACAATATAGCAGAGCAAATCTTACAATATACCAAAGGATGCCCCTGTAAAGCTCTGTTCCTGAAACTTGCCAAGAATAATCTCTGATGGATAAGTGAGAAAGCTGGGTTGTTAACATCTGATCCAAACTTAATAATCTGTAGAAAAGGTATGCACTGAAAGTGTGTGGCTTTAATTAACTGCAAATAATCCCCCAAGGCAAATATTTAATTACCTGCACAGCTTCTTACTTCTTTCATGGCATGACAATAAGTTTATAAATCCAAGTTTGAAAGCAGAATATCTCACTGATGTACAATTTGCTAAAATTTGCCCTTGCTGCACTTTTTTTCACCCTACTGTGGACTTAAACCGCTACTCACTGCTATCAGCTGGACCGCTGGGCTGGCCTAGGATGCCACACTGTGCTATGAGTTACAAGGGATTACCCTATCAGCCTGAATCAGAGCAAAAATAAATTAGAATTTCATCAAATTCTGAGTTTAATCAAAAAGCGAGTTGAAGGACCTCTTGGTGTAAATGGGAATGGCACTAAAAATCTGTAGGGAATTTTTCAAGCAAACTTTAAACCCATTGAGTGAAATTCTGGCTTTGCTGAAGCTTTTGACAAAGCTTTCAGGATATCAAACAAGCCAAGATTTGTACCACCCATAGCCCCATACCCTAAACTAATATAATCTTTTTCTGTATGATTTAGTTGCATGTTTGTAAAAGGAACTGTACTGACAAAGCTGGAATCAGAGGTCCTCTGCCTTAAGTACCATGCAGCCAGGGCCCAAACGCAGCCCTTCAAACAGCCAAAAGTGATGATAAAGTGTGGTATTACCTGCTATGGGCAGGAGAGATGCACGCAGCTCTGTCCCATCAAACCCTTAGAGCTATCTTATCCTACACCTATTGCACAGTGCTTCATACTCCCAGACCTGTGCCTTTAATCTCAGTTCACAGGTGCCACCTTTTCTCCTGGAATGAGGAATGACTCCAATTTCATGCAAAAATCAATCCCCAGCATCAGAGGAACAATTACGCGCTTTGGTCAATAATAACAAATGGAGTTTAAGGAGGCCCATGCCTGGCTGATGTATGTGCCCCATCACGCTGCTGTTTGTCGCGGAGCATCACGTAGCTTTTGGCAAACTACGGTTATTGCACAGTGTGGGGAGTTGTCGCTACTCCCACCCTTTGGCACAGCTCGCAGTTCGACCCTGCAGCTGTGCTGAGCGCCAGCGTTAGGCGCCACAGCTAGAGACCACCTATGCTATTTGGCACATCTTCACACATTCCCATAGCTGGCTCTGCACAGTTTATTCTTACAGGATTGTAATTTTGTGTTAATCTTTCATTTTGGTCATAAACAGTTTTCTAATCATTCCAGGGTACAAGAAAACAATTTAAAAATTGCACAGGAATCCAAATTATCCCAGGCAATATACAATGATAATTTTGCACAAGTTATTTTTTATAAAGTGTCTTTCTGAAAAGAGCAGAACACGAACAGGAGTTACTGCCTAGCTGTAAGAGTCTGCAGTTCTTATAATCAGTCATTGCATTAGGATGCAGATTATGAGTTTCAAAATCTTTAAGGTCAAGACCATACCAAAGATTTCTTCTTTTCAAATGCAAATATTAGATCAAATATTCAAGCCAAAAGGTCCAAAGATAGATTTACTTTTAGGATTAACAAGAATAAAATAAAGCAAAGGAATAAACCCAGATTTATTAGGAAAATCTGAGCCAAGCAAGAGTAAAAGTGTAAGACCAAATGCACCGGTCAATAAAAGCTGTTCCCAAATTGCATACGAGGCAAGAGTGCCACCTCCGTTTCAGTTGGCAAGCAGCGGTGGGAATCCCACAAATGCTGATGATACACTACTTTCTGCGTGCACGTTTTCAGTAGGGTAGTGGTATTGCTCAGGCTCAGCTGGTCCTCTCTGCTCGCTTAGCCCTTTAGAGCCTTATGCAACTGGGCATAAGCCAGTACCATAGTCCTAATGATTCCAGGGTCTACAAAAGCTCTGGCCATCCCTACAGCCTTTGTTCATTTCTAATTGGCTAGGGAACTAACTCTGATTTTTTTAAATGGCATAGAGCAGTGTTAGTCTTCTCCTAACACAGCTACTTATCCGTTAAGTCGTACCAGAGAATTCAAGTCAGGATATAATTTTGCAGCACTAAGTATACTTAGTTTTTTGATAACACACGCTGAGCACTATTTACCTTGGGTAACCACAAATTGTGACTGTAAGGGTTAACATTCCTCCAGGCAGGACTGAAAATAATCAGTTTCTGATACTACACTGGAGCACAGTTCCTAATGTCATCATTGATCACACATGAATGAACCAAACATGACATTTAATGACACAAATGAACCAAAAATAGGCCACTTTTATCTACTGCACATCAAGCATTGAAGTGCTCATTGAAGTCTGAGCATCCCTTAGTTCCTTCAAACCTGCTTTTACTTGGTGGCTGCAGTGAAGGTGTCCAGTTCAGGAGTGCTTGGCTCTGCACCCCTCCATTGTATTGAAACAACCGTCTCGTGGGGCTGCATGGTTGAATGCACCTGGGAATTAGCCCCAACCTTTAACAACCCGTGAAGAAAATATTTGGACTTTAAGTAAGCCGATCAGAATAATCACCGAGTATATTCACTGTTGCAATATATCAACTCTATGTTGAATTCAGCTCCAAGAAAACCGTGTAGCTTGCGATAAACTATCAATCCTACCCTTCCTGCCAATAATCGGACGCTAATTTATCTACATACTGTATAAACCCCCATGCTTTTCCATGCCATTCTTCTTTTTTTTTTTTGACTGTATAAAGCAACGCTGCTCAAACAAAATTTTGCAACTGCTAAGGAAGACGAGAAATGGTAAGACCTGAATGTTAAGTGGTTTTAATGATCTTTTAAAATTCACTTCCCCAGCTACTCTCTGTATGGCTTATTTACTGAGTTGTTTCTAATGTGCAACACACCTGGGTCCCGCATACAGCATAGATAAATCACCATGTTTTAGGGAGCTGTAAGAAGATTAAAGAGGGAGAAAGCTGGTCATTATGAAAGAAACAGGTTCAGTGCATTTTATTTTTTAAGCATGATACTGTGAGAAATGACTGGAATATTTCCAGAGTGAAAGAAATCAAGCAGGCGTCTAAAATTACAGGTAATGGTGTGCACGGAGGCTGCCACATGATTAGGGTATTCTTTTGCCTCATAAACTGAGGAAAATGTGTTAAAATGAAGTACTATAAAATGGTGATTTATGAGAAGTTAGGGAGATATTCTTGAGCTTTGACTTTAAAACGTTATTTTTATATCCACCAAGATTTCATTTTAATCTATCTTTATGACAGATTAGATTTATTGGAGCCCAAGTTTATATGGCTTGGTAAAACAGACCTTTTTAGGTGCAACAACCTGTAGAGGTATTTTTGCAAGTGTTTGGGTAATAGACCAGGCAGTTCACCTCTGCAGGTGGGGTCCTCCGAGTAATGCTCCCACCCAGTCGTGCTTCAAGCTGACAGAAGGGCATCTCCTCTAACCTCACCTTCTGTCCACATGAGACATTTCAGGCGCAGCTTGTATGATAACCGTGGGCATCCTGCTGCTGCCGTCAGGGGCAAGGTCTGTTGTACAGGGCACTGAGAAAGGAAAAAAAGCTGAGAAAAACCTGGCCGCCTCGGTTAGACCCTTCCCAGGAGAAGATGCCACACAGCTGAAGGCAAAGGTTGAGGAGGGGGAGATGGAAGGAGTAGGCGCTCGCATCAGACTGATGGGAGCGCAGCTGGATGGCTCCAGGTCAGCTAATATTTAAAAGTAAGTACGATCTAAATAAACCAGCTAAGCAGATTAGTGTCAGCTGTTGTGGCTGCCTGTACTGGCAAAGGGTAAAGCAGAAATCATAGAATCATAGAATAGTTTGGGTTGGAAGGGACCTCTAAAGGTCATCTCATCCAACCCCCTGCTGTGGGCAGGGACATCTCCAACTAGATCAGGTTGCTCAGAGCCCCGTCCAACCTCACCTTGACTGTTTCCAGGGATGGGGCATCCACCACCTCTCTGGGCAACCTGGGCCAGTGCTTCACCACCCTCAGCGTAAAAAATTTCTTCCTTATATCTAGTCTAAATCTACACCCCTTTCGTGTAAAGCCATTCCCCCTTGTCCTGTCGCAACAGGCCCTGCTAGAAAGTCTGCTGCCATCTTTTTTATAAGCCCCCTTTAATCCCTCTTGAGTAGTTTATGGTCTGGACCCCATCTGGATGCTCAATGCTACAGACAGGTCAGATTAAAAGGAAAAGTGAATAACCCACATTAGGTACAGCTCAAAGTGACCATTATGGAGGGTGCCAGGAGAATAGGCACTTGGTTGGATGGTGATGGTTATGCACCTGGTTTAAAAAAAGCACCAACCACACCATTTAGCTTGTGTTAGCCAATTTGCTTTCATAGAAATCCTTCTAACCAAGGGAGAGAAAAATGTTATCACTGTAGCTGGCATGCAGAGCCACAGCTATGGTTGGGGGTATTGAAACTCTTCCATTAAAAAGGTTCTTTTTCAGTTACCTATAATTGAAATTTTTCAGGCTGAAATTTTCCAGGTCTAATCATAGCCCAAGGGTGAAGTAAAACATTTCATTGGTAGCTGCTGAGCACTCAGCACTTGTGAAAATCAGGTCATTCATTTAGATGTCTTAATATATACTTAAGAGCTGATTTTAAACACCTCTTTTTTAACATATTGGCGTTTCAGTCAATCTTTTTCACCCAATTATCAATGTCTAATTTACATCAATTTGCACAGCTGCCCTGCATTTGAAATGCTCTGTCTTTCAGTTTATCCTTTCTCAATCATTTATGTCTTTAGGACATCAAGATTTTTCCACGGTGAGAATTACAGCTGGCCAAACACCGGAATTTTGTATCCATTATGTTTTACAGGCAGGATACTTACAGGCTTCTGGGTTGCACAAAGTGAGTTTTGAGGGCTAACCCCTAGCCAAGGCATATACCTACTTCTGTTTCTGACAACATAAGCCCTCCGGCTCACTGAATCTGACTCCATTTCAGAGAATGTAGAAAAATAGTGACTTGCTTTAAATGGCACTCCCACAGGAGCACAGACTTTGGTGAACACCTGGAAATACTTAATTGCTACTTTATTTTTAAAATTAATTAGCATATGATTTAATTTAGTTGACCTTCAATTGAAAATTCAGTTCTTATTAAGTGCTAATGAATTAAAATCAGTGTATTGTGCACAGAAACTTTGCCATGACTGCATAATGGGGAGTTCATTCTTCACCTGTACTAAATCCAGTTCCTTTTTTCATTTTTCTACCAGAAAGCCCTATCATTAAATCAGGTTAAATAGTAATTTGTAGGACAGGTAACTGAGATGAAGATGCAGAACACTCACTCTCTCACACACACACAGCTGTGCACGCACACGTACTCTTTTTTAAAAAAAAAAGGTTCAAACCAATCCACAGCTATATACAATATAGTTCATTTAAAATGAGTTTGTAGTCCCAGCACAATCTTGTATGGACAGGCATACTAGACTGAGTGCAGCCTGTCGGATACGTGTTTTATCTGCTGCATAAACATTAATGACTTTAATCACTTTGTTCTGCCCTTACACTTCATAAAGAGAAGCATCTCTAACTTGAAATACGTTGTGTATACAGGATCTACTTCCATATGCACAGTAATGAAGCGCTACGAAGGTGCTGCCTAGAGATGGCAGCTCTCCCCCCAAGAGCTAATAGTTATGCATGCAAGTTTTCAAGGGTAAAATTGCAACATTTCTTTGCGGTATTTCCAGACAGTGGAAATAGAAACTTGGCACTGACTGGAATAAGAGGATACCTCCGCAGCATAACATCAAACATCTTGATATTCTTGGAATATGACTGTCCTGCTTTTTTTTTTCCTGAGGACAGAGAGAGCACTCAAAAAATTCAGTCTGTTCAAAGGCCACATGCAAACTGGGCCCATGTGGACATTTTTTTCTGGACAGTGTCTCTTCTATTGCGAATAACAGAAGAGATATACTTTCACATTAATATGAGATTTGTAATCTCACATTAGGTTTTCATTTTAATCGGAGCCCCTCAAAACATGATTCTTGCACTGTTCCATGCACTTATCACAAAACATCCCCTTTCCTGTTCCCATCCTTCCCCTTTTGTTTTAAAAAAAATTATAAACACGACTCAGGTAAGACAAAAACATACTAGAAATTCATGGTGGCAGAGATGCATGTGATCTGTTTTGAATATCACTGCATTTTAGAGCAATAAATAACTATTTCAATGTGCTTGCTGTATTCTAATCCCAGAAATGTGAGAAAAATAAGCAGAAAAACTATTAGTCAACTCTAATTGGAGTCAAAATACTTGTTTTGGTGCACTCACCAGAACTGACATTTGAAAGACTGCTATACTTCCACAGTAGGCTTGGAAACCTATTCCAAGTGGTTTAAACTATGCATTTTGGGAATATGCAGCCTAGACTTACTTGCCACAAATCTCCTTTCACAGTAATTAGGTGGTATGACTGGAAAAACATAATTTCTTTAAATGCTTTACATCCAGCTCATTTAGTCAAAGATAAACTACAGAAATGAGTATGTTCCAGAACCTGGCAGGTTTTAGCTGTGTTAACACAGTGGGCAAACAATTTGAAGGCTGAAATTTATTTCGGGAGCAGCAGGTGTTTTCAGAAATGCCAGGATTTTGTAAAAGTGCCATTTCCTAAGCGGTTGCAAGTTTTATGTAACACTAGTATTCATTTTAAAACAACTCAAAATCTAAAATCTGAAAAGTTGAAAATCCACTAATGGAAATAAGGATTAAAACCATGGACAGCCTGGCGGATGCGGTGGCCTGATCGTTCAAAATTCTTGGTTACATTTTAAAACTAGCAAGCAAATCCCCAAACATGTTCTTTTCCCCACCATTCCTTTTTTCTACTTACATGACTTTACAAACAAAATATATGGAGGAGAGTCTGTCTTGTTCCTTTTTCCCTACCAGATGCTTTTTGTCTTACTTTTGAAGAGAGGTAGGACATCAAAGAGAAACTACCCTTTGGATTTCTCAGAGCACTCTCTCTTCTGTTAACCTCTCAAGAGAAGAGGGGAAAACACTGTACTCTCAGCATATTATAGGAAAAGCGAGACATATAGCACCAGCATGGCTACTTTCTTGAGAAGAGACAATTAATACAATGGGTCAAAAAAATGGAGTGGTTACACATTGAGATGGTCATTGAAAAACGTATTAGAAGACACTGGCTTCATAGTCAGGAACAAGCACTCAAAGCAATACCAAAATGTTGGGATCTTCAGTAAGACTGCAAACAGCAAGCAAGCAAAAAAAAACAAAAAAAAAAAAAAAAAAAAATTTTCAAACCCAAAGCCTCACCATGACCCTCATATTACGAAACATAAAAAACACATCTGATGGGGGATCTTATAGATACAGTATACGTAAACAGGCCAAATGTCATCAAAAAAAGATAAATGAATGGCAGGCAATCACCAGCTACGCTGAGGCTGAATCTATCACTATTTTGCCTTCCACTAGCCTTGCCACGACCTTAATCTGTGAAGATATCAAAAGCAAAAGCCAGCGCTCCAGCAAGGGTTTGTGGCTTGTTTTCCCTGCAGGATCAATCAATCAGTTAAGAGATCACCTAAATCAACCTGCACAAGGCTTTGAACTCGTAATGAGGTAAGTATGTGGGCTCTCTAGCATGTGTCTTTGGAAGAAAAGGGCAAGATATCACACCCCGTCACACTTATCTAGAAAAATGAGAAGAGAGTCAAGCAGCAATGCTGAATTAAACATTAAATCTTTTAAAATAAATAAGTTAATGGATTTTAATAATTATGTTATCTCAGTAAAATCCATTAAAATTTTCTATTAGTCTTTCTTGAAGGCTGTACTGATGGACTGTATTTATTATAGATAGCATAACGCCTGTTTTGAATTACCAGTAGCGAACATTTTATAAATCACCCAGGCTTTTTCCTGACATACCCCGACATAAATGCCAAAAACCATAGACCGGCACAAGCAATTAATAGCGTGATATCATAAGAGTATCAAAAACAGTACGTCTGTGCACTGGTTCCTATCTGTAAACCAACAACTCCACAGGAAAAATCTCAGCTTGAAACATTTAAATTAGATCATCTCTCTTGTTTCCTAAACTCCCTGTCATTTGGCCCCGTGACACTTTTAAATATTTATCACAAACTAAATGATCTGAATGCCCAGCACAGTCTGCACAAGATAAACATTACTTTCTCCCTCCCAATTATGACTTCATCTCCTCCTGTCTCCTCTTGATGTGTTTATAGCTATTGTGTTTTTCTTTTTCCCCATCAGGAGAGCACCGAATAGGGAGCTAATATTGCCGAGATAGATGTGCATGCTTAACTTTACGCCTGCGAGTCGCCCCAGCGAGCCCAAGCTTTGGGCTTATTTCTGATATGTCACGTATGATATTTTAGTATTACCTCTATAACAAGGGGACTTAGGAATTCACGGCATCTCTCCTACCAGCACAACAGCTGGTACCAAGTACTTCATTACAAAGGCTTTTGTAAATGAAAATCCAAGCATTTACCTATTTCTGTATTGTTTAACTGTGATTTCGGCAATTTCCAGACAAAGGAAAATAAGGCTTTCCAAAATGTCCTCTTGGGACTGGATATTTTGAAACACAATTTGCAATCCGTACCTTTATCCTCACTCAGCTCTGTTCCTTCTGATGATGATAGGCTGGCTACAGCTGAAGGTTTCGGCTCATCTGTAAGAACCGACGAAATGAAAGAGAAGTTATTCATTAGATAGCAAACTGATGAACCACTTTACTGAAAAAAAGCGTTACGCCTTATTGAGGCAAGATACTAGACCTGAATTTGATTTACTGGGCTTCCATCCATTCACAGGCCATTACTGGTCTGATTGTCTTCCCCAAGCCAGGGGTAAACTTACATTACAATACTGCCAGATCAAGTCTACATTTCAATTTCTCATAATACAGAGAGAGGAACAGCTATCAGTTTCATGGGTAGGCTGGTATTGCTATTTGCTTTGAGATTCCTTTTTTCATTTAATCCATCTATTTTGAGAAAAAACAATTAAGCCATTCTTAACTTTAATCATATCCATGAATCCCATTGGAATCAAAATGATTACATGCAAATGCTTTCCTGAAAATAGAAGCTTTCATGAATCAGGCCTGAAACTTAGCAAGTCCCTGAAAACCTGTGGCTTGGAGTTTTTTAACGGTAGAGCATGCAGGTAAAACTACTGTAGTTAATAGATAAAACTAGTACCTGAATTTAATAGATTTTTTTTCACTGTTGCTTTTTCTTGGCAATTTTTATAGTTCTAAAACCTTTATAAGCCTTTGTTTTCATTTCTAGCCATTCATTTCTTTCAAAAAACTTGCCTCTGATGATTCTGACAAAATTTTTTTCCTAATATAGTCACCGAATATTTTTAACTAGCTTGAAACCAGAGCTCTGAACCACCTGCCATTTTGTTTTTCCATGTGTTAACTGTGAAGTTCACTGATGATAGACTGGAGGCCAGACTTTAAAAAAACCACACAGTAATAGCTGAAAAATTTCAGGCCAGTCTTTGTACACTATAACTGGCTATTTCACTACTGTATAATAAGAATATATAAATCTTTATGTAATGGACTGGATAAGGATACTTTTTTTTTTTCCCTACATTTTCTTTCACAATATCGAAGTATACAATTTGTAATTTCTCACGCTCAAATAAAGGTTATGCCTTTTGGTTTAGAAAATACAAATAAGAACTTTAACATCTGATAGGATTGCTCCTTACAGTGATCAGTCATAGCGATTAGAAATGTTTTAGGCATACAACTGCGTATCTTAGAAAATCTGGTCATTTCCTACTGCCAAGAAAGGGCACAGAAGCAGCAATCTAAAAGTTCCTGATGATGTTTTGTCTCACAATGAGTAGAGTGGAAAGCAGCAGCAACTCATTAGCCGAATGTAACTAACTCGAGGTAATTGTACACCTCTTTGTTCTCGTCACTATGCGAACCAGTAGGGATAAATGTTAAGCCAAATCATTTTTTCCTGTAACACTGTGTGCCTGTGGCTGAGGAGGTGATTCATGGACTGTGCATAGGCACAACGCTATCTTTAGGCATGTACCTAAAACGCGTTCCTAAAGTATGACATTTTCTGGATCTGGGACCTAAAATGTCTGGATCTTTTCTTTGACGGTCTTCATGAGAGTAACAAAACATGACTACCAATATGAGATAGCAAAAGAATGTACATCATGGCTCTGATAAACCAGCTCTGACAGCTCGTAACGTAACAAGTCATAACGATGGTTTTGGGAAAAACACAATGCATTTAAGACACCTCCAGTAGCAAAGTAGTAATTTAGAGGTACAGATTCCTTAATTCTCTTGGGAAAAATGAAATGTGTCTCATTCAATCGAGCTGTTTTGCAAATCAAAATACCAGGGAAATATGCACCCCATCAGAGTGAATATAGCTGACAAGCACAATGGGCTGTATTTGGCATCTGTAGACAGTGGTATAACCGGGTTTAACAGGAACCTCTGCAGTTGGAGCTAGGAGCTCCTAGCAGTACTAGCTCTTAGGTGAGCTAGCAGCCAAGCACTACTTGGTATGGTTAAAAGCTCAATATTGCTTGGGCAAAGATATGCCCCTGCCTAGTCTGAGGTTCAAAACAGAGTCTGGATCCAGACAGAGCAACTCATTCCTCCCTTCTCCCTGGTCCCCTTCGCCTGTTTAAAATATGACTAGCATAAAAGTGAAAAACCCAGGAAAGGAAATGCTGTTGTCCTCCAGCACTTAGAAAATACCACTGCATGCTCATCTTGGGAAGGATAAAAGGCCTAGGTCCAAATTTTGCTGAGGTCCATGGGAATCTTTTTTAGTTGGTAATACTGTGTGCCTATGGCTTCACCTCCCACTGCTTGCCCCACACGAGGACATAAACAAGAGGTGATAAAGAGGACATGAAACATAGAAGGACTTCAAGCACTTGCGGACAGCATCAGCTGTTAACACCTAGTTGCAGAAGAGTGACTTGGGGAGCGCAGGGAGAAATGCTGTGCTTCCACATACACAGTGCCCAATGCATAGGACAAAAAGAAGGACCCTCATCAAATGAATTCCTCATCTGGAAACAGCCACAATGCAGTAAGCAAACCAGCTAAGTCAAGAATCTAGGCCTGCTAAATTTTTTTTGCTGCATTTACTGGCTGGCCTTCTTCAGCTCAATCTTCCACGTACTGAAAACAATCTTCAATTCCAATTAAAAAAAAAGTAGTTCTGAAGAAAACTGTTTCATGCTCTCCGGATTAAGTATGTGTAGGCAACATCCTGCACTACAATGAGAAAAAAACCAAACGAACAAGAAAAGCACTGTGTTACATGTAATACTATATTAAAAGAAATCCTTAAGAAATAAGGGGATTTACAGACATTTTGATTGTCACTTCAGGTCTTTTGATAACTGATTAATTCTAGTCGTCTTTTGCATTGAACAGAGTTGGGTAGGATGAAAAATACAACCATAAACAAAAAAAAAAAACAGAAAATCTATTGTGAATACAGAGTGACACTATTTTAAAATATTGAACTCACTGTAATTTATAAGCATGGTATCTGCAAAACTCAGTGCTCATGAACTCTGACATTCATTTGCAGTATATGCAGTATCCTTCTGTATGGATTTAAATCTTCATAACCCCTGAGACTTGTGTAGACAATTTATTAAAACTTGAAAATACCCTTTAAAATCTTCAGAAGTACAGTTTTCATCAAAAGAAGCCTGCTTCCTCCTTCTCCAAATTTCCTTTTCTATTCTATGCAGAGGGCTATTCTGTTGTAGACAGAGAGAAAATTATTTCTTTCCAGTTAGAGGATTAGCTAGAGGTAGTCCACCTTAAAGGGAGAATGTAGAGCTGGCTTGCAATACATTCATTCATAATGAATGGAGTTGCAGTCTCTCATGGGAGAATTGCTCAAGACCTGAGCTAATCTGGTGAAAATGTACAAACATTCTCCTTCAATAGTATTGACTAATGTTATTGTTCACCAAGGTGGATAAAACCTAAGAAAGTCCTTTAAGGAACTCGGCACAAACCTGCTTCTCGGCTCTGGACCTCGGTTTCTTCGGTGTTTTGCTTCTCCTTTGTGCCATTACCACCTATCGAGGAAAACACATAAAAATTATTTGTGATATATCTTTTTATTGGTAACAGCAGCAGCAATATTAAATGTAACCAATTCAGCACAAACTGCTAATTTATAGCAAGGCGCCATGATAAAAGGGGAGAGATAAAAAGGTAAACTGAAAAAACCTGCAAACATAACTGGTTACATTTAAAACAGTCACATTTGCACATCTCAGGCTGAAGAAGGGGGGTTAGATTAAAGATTTTATCTCAATAGGCACACTGGAAATATCTGTATACCAAATAAAGGTATGTTTCCCTAAACACTGTCTGCAATAGATGAAATTGTTGCTTGATCTTAGACTATGTATTTTATATTTTTCGAGGATTATTTTCCTCAAGTAACATTTCCACAAGATCCTTGAAGTGGCTGTGTTTCCGACTTGCAGAACCTACTTTAATGCCTATAGAAGGTAAGAACAGAAGGGGGAGAATCACCCGAATTTTATTTTAAAGCAAAAGGCACGCCACCTATCATAAAGTACAAACATGCATCACAAACGACTGCAAAGAAGAGAGCAAAATAAACCAAAGTAAGATTGCTAAGATTGAATGCATTTTCCCCCTTTTACACTCACATTCATTCCCAGTTTTCTCCACTACTTTGCATTCGCATTCGTTATCCATTTTCTTCCCTCCAGCTCCCTTTTCAGGAGGCAGGTACCAAACAGTGAGTTACCACCGAGAAAAGTAATGCCCTGGGGAACGTCTATAGATGCGAGATCAAGCTCTCTTAACCTTTGCTTGGCCCAATTAGAAATGTATCAGGAAGTCTGTATTGTCAACGATGGAGAAGGCTCTTTTAGCTTCATAATAATATTAGAAGCTGCAGTGCAGCATGCTGGATCAGATGAGATGGCTACACTCCCTCTTTTCCAGCATGGAGAGATAGACGGCGAGAACAGCTGAGTACCAGCCTTAATGAGGCATTTGAAAAACTGACTGCTGAGCATATATACTGGGAGAAAGGAAATTCATTCCCAGGCCTGTAAATGGCTTGATAATGATGCACATATTTTTTGCTGTGATCTTTTCTGGCTCCTGGGTTTTTCTGATTACAGCTTCTCTAAAGCAACATGGTTAAAGTTCCTCGCACCACCACCTTGCTTTTACTTAACACATGGAGTCTGTTGAAGAGAACAGCAGTAGCCCAAATGCAATTAGATGGATGGAAGAAAAACAGAGAAAGTGTGTGTTTTTCCAAAGCAAATGTACATCTGGTGGCACGCCGCATTCAGCTAATATTTAAAGGCTGAGGTATGACGCTCTCCCTCTTTCCAGCAGGCAATACATCCTGGCATCCAGCAGATGGGACTAGTGGAGAAGTATTTCCAGGCTGACCCTGCACAGAGCTGCTCTCAGGAGGAGAGGCGATGGAACAGGAGTTTGACACCCCACCTGAGAGGGGAGACGTGGGCAGGGAGCGGCTGATGGCCACCAGTGGGGACTCGGGCCTCCTGCCTGCTTGCTAACTCTTTGTACCGATTTTAACCAGCCTTAATGGATGACTAGCTATAGTGATTTCTTAGCACATTAGTGAGCTCTAACTTGTAAGAAATTGCATTACGTGGATGACCAAAATGGCTTGATAAAACCAGCTGGGTTTTTCCTTGCCCCACTTGAAATCAAAAAGTATTATTTTCAAAATCAGCGTTCTGCCTGTCCACACACAACAGGAGGACCTCATGCAAAATAGAAAGTTAGCTATACTAGAAGATAAACTTTTCCCTCCCCCTCCCCTTTTCTTTTAAAACATGGGCTTGGGACTTTGAAAGCTTTGCAGCAAGCAACTAATAAATAAGGAAAAAATCCTTTGCATCACCAGGATGTGTTTCAAAGGGATACAGTCACCTGGCTCAGGAGCTGCGGAAAGGAACAGTACGTTCAAGACAATCCTGTAACACAACAGTGCAGTGACATTTGAAATATCTTTACCATTAGGTCAGATCCAAAGAGAGTATTGCATCACTGCGAAACAAGCGGTGCCAAAGCATAAAGGATTTAATTATGGCCAAGTGCAACATGTTTCGCTTTGCACAGAAAGATTTTACATTCAGAAAAAGCAGGTCAGGCATAAATGGTAACTACCGATATATCACTGAAAATCATTTCAGCAATTACCTTACTGCATTCACAACGTAGAACTACATTTCTGGACGATACTTGTTTCTACATCCATTATAACAAGTATGACTATAACCATGAGATATTTGGCTAAAACCAGGTATTTCAAGGATTCATTCATGTTTATTGCCAAGGGATTACATCTCTTGTTAAAGTCACTTACTCAGAGCAAACTTACACTACAAAAGAAAGTTTAAACGATCATCTGGTTCATCAGATTATCAGATAAAGCACATATTCACCAGTATGTTTTGTCAACCCTAAGTCTATTATTTCACTGGAGATTCACTGTTTAAAACTGGTATAATAGGACGATAATTACAGCACTATATTTTGGATTCTCAACATCTTTTCCATCTAACACTTCATTTTGTTCCTTTAGAAAGAAAAATGTAAAAAGACTTTAAGCAGAAGCTTCACCTCTTGTACTCTGACCCAGTCCAACAGACTGACTGGATCATGACACAGAAATTAATCTTGATCAGCATATTGCAAGTACGTGTTGTGCATGCAAAGTGACTTCGATAGAATTAGAGAAAAGGAAATGCTAAAAAATTAAGTGTGGACAAGTGATCCTCAAGTAAATGACTTGCAGAAGGAAGGGTTAAGCTCTGCTTGGCCTGGAGAATCTCTTCATCTCTGGAGAAAGGGAGGAAGCGGAGTACGAACACACCGATAAGAAAGCAAACTATAGGGTGGAGAAGTGACTAATCCCAAAGCGTCTGACAAACAGTTTTTTCCGTTTTTTAATAACCCTTCTAATAAGTCTCTCACCAAGTGTCTTCTACTGATGAAGGGTCTTTCTGTAATTAATGCTCTCCATTGGAGCTGGGTGCAGAGCAAATGGAAAGGCTTTAAGCAGCACATGCTCAAGGCGAAGAGCTGAAAATACGTTTTATAAGAGTAGCAAGCCAGTTTTTCACCATATTTTCATTCACCCCGGCTCTCCTTTTCTCCAGGCAGAAAAGCCAAACCCAGCGCGTTTCCCTTGAGTCTTCCCCAAGACATTATTAATAATAAAAATGTCTTTTCCACTGGATGGCTTCTACAGTATCCGCCATCCTTCTCTTTCCACTACTGCAGCAACTGGCGACTGCATTTCCTTTAGGTGAAAGCTGTCCTCACAATATCTGCTTTTCTATTATACTAGTAATTGAACAGCAATCTGTCACTCACTCCAAAGGAGATAGAAAAAGTGGCAAACGACACGTCGTGTCATTTTAGGTCAGCAAATTTAAATGATTTTGAGCCACACCAAAAGACAAATGGGAACATCCGTTTCTTTTCCCCAGCATGGCAGGCAGTTGAAAAAAACGGAGTTTGAGAATTACAGTAGCACCGTACAAACAAAATAAGCACATGAGACACTAAAATACCTACTTCTGGCCACATATTTTGCTCTCCCTTGCCAAGCTGACTACTGCCTGACAGGCGCTTGCTCCCTCCTCTTGGCCTTTTTCTTTGAGATCAGCAAGAAAATTCCCCCCCAATTGATAGAAACCCTCATTTATGTTTGGTAGAAAACAGGCTAATCAATCAGCACACTCAGCAAGCTGGCAGAGCAAGCGGCACTTCTAACTAAACTAGAAAACCGGATACTCTGCGAGTGCCTGCCCACTTTATGTTAAGGAGCGGTATTTAGCATGCACAGTGATATACCAGCTGCGGTAGCAGCCCCAAAACGAAGCAGATGATATGATAAATAATAAGCCGGCAGTCAGATGGGAGAGGGCTGGGACAAGATCCCTATGAAAGTCCAGAGGACAAACTCTCAGCAGCGGCACCAGAGCAGGTTTTAGTATTCTTCCCATTTTCTCTGCGAGACCCTGGCGGCACGTGGCTTTTTACATCTTTCTCTGTTCTTGCGACAAACGTGGCAAGTCAAAAATATTAATAACCTGCTGGCCTCTTGGCTCTTCCCTTTCAGAGCTGAGTAAGTGCCAGGTTTGCTCATACACCTACTCCTCTTCAGCAGTGCCTTTCTTCACAAGCAGTCAGCGACGTACTTAGAGCTGAGGCTAAAGTCAGTGTCTCAAAAACTGGTGCAAAAAGACATCTCAAAAGCTGGTGCAAAAAAGATATTTTCCAGAAGAAAACAGAATTGCAGATAATGTATTTTTAGTTAAAGGAGGAAATTCTGCATAACCATACAAAACAGTCTACTTCTACCCCTCCGACACAGATGTTATTAATAATAAAATTGTTTTCACTACTGAGAAAGCTGTACTTATATCATCCATAGTGTGTCAGACAGCCAGAGTAAAGTTCCTTCAAACAACCTCCTCCTTCCTGGAGCAGAAATAAAAGAGACAGAGGGCCAACACCTCAGGCTCACATCTTGTTTGCCACTCTCACGTATCTGTGTACGTATCACATCCCTGAGCACCAGGTTTGACCCTGTTACATCCCCGCACGGCTCTTGCCATGCAAGTCTGGGTGCATCCTCTGGTTCTCCGGGTGGCCAGTGACTGCATCTCTCCTGCGGTCTGGCCTGCAAATCTCCCTTCAAGCTGGGCCACGCTTCTATGACAAATGCAAATACAAACCAAGATCTGGCAGACAAAGGATGCCAGTTTTGAATTATCTTTTTTACAGCACAAAAATATCGCCACGGTAATCATACTAATGATAAGAAGGTCCTTCGAGGATAACAGGGAAACTAATTAATGAGAAAATTAAAAATACAGGCCTTGATTTTACAGCTGTTACATTCTGCACACATGAGTATATATGCTGACTTCAGTGAAACTCCTAAAACGAGAGAAGAAAGCACGCATATTCATATATACACTCAACATCATACAGCCTGCAACCATTTTCAGACTATTCCAGTGGCAAAATGGTATCA